TCTTGTTGGATTTTTGTAAAGATTAACAGTGGAAAAGTTGCATGCGGAAAAACACGTACGGGGTGACCCAGAAACTGCTCTTTTGGTTTTTTTTAGTTATTCGGCTATATTTCCGGAAACTACTTAAGATGGTCAATTGGAATTGTACACGTATTACCATTACTAATGCGCACTAACAAAAATTGGAAATTGAAAGCACATTTCGAAAAACAAATGTTTTCTACACATTGAAGCTCAATCAACAGCCCGAATGTTGTCTGTTTTAGAGAGAAATCTTGAACATCTAAAACGATTAGGGGCAAAAGAATCTCTAATATTTATCATTAGCGTTTTTCTAGGTCATTGTTTAAAACTAGATAGTTTATTCGCCCTTTTACATCATTGTAGAATAGAATTTCTGCCTGATCATGCATGAATATGCAAGTCACTGGTGCTTACAAATCGTCAGGAAGGAATTCTCCTCTACGACGGCCTAAAATTGCAAAAAAATGCCATATTTAATTAAGTAAATGATGGAACTGGGTTGTCTTTTGCGCTTTTAGGTCGTAGAATAATTTGTTTTCTGACGTCTTTGCAAGCACCATAAAGTAGTAAGGTACATATGATCCTACTTGGACCGGCATAAAAACTAAATCTGCGTAAACCATATACTTTTACATCTTATATACAGGGTGAGTCAGCAAAGCGAGCCCTCTTAGATCGTACAGATATAGCGACGTTTATAAGTATAAAAGTGTTGGTTGTCTTCAAAGCTTTTGTATCTGTTACTTTGAACTATACAGGGTAGCTTAAAATAAAGTTATGATAGTCAAGTTTTTTTTTTTTTTAATKGAACAGCCTATTTTTTACTCCAGATTCATGTTMTACATTGAATTCAATSRTTTTGGACATAACGACATCTGAATATGGGAACGCAACAAAAGTAAACCTTATTATTATTTTTTTTWWATAAAATAAACGATTTAATTTGAGAACAGCACAAAACGAAAACACCAAACAGATCATTTGTTTTAATATTCCTTTAAAATTRTCATTTAWTAATATTATTATTGAAAAAAAAATCATGGATTTTACTTTTGTTGCGTTCCCATGTTTGAAACACCGCTTTGTCCAAAACTATTGAATTCAGTCACATAGTATGTTATACAAAAAATGCTTACAATAGAATATAGAACCTTATTCTGGATTAAACAGTAGGTTGTTCCATTTAAAAAAATAAGCTTGACTGTCATAACTTTATTTTGAACTACCCTGTATAGTTCAAAGTAACAGAAACAAATGCTTTGAGGACAACCACAACACTTTAATGTAAACGGTTTTTTTTTCAGTCGCTATTTCTGTACGATCTACGAAGAGAGCTGACTCACCCTGTATATATGGGGTAAACAGTCGACGTTTTCATTGTGAATTATGCCAAAGCTTGCCAAATATATTTTAAAAAAAGTGTTTTAATTAGTTAATTAATTTAACTGATCTGAACATATTTAGTTCATTGTTTATTCATTTTTTTTTACGGTTTATTCAATTCATCCACAGGTTAGGTCTCATTAGGCCCCACCATTTCCTATAAGAAAACTCCTGCGGTATATATTTATGCGAGCATCGCCGGAGATAATTAGAGCCCAATTTAATTAATAAATCAAATCCTGATATTGCGACTGGTATTTTTATAACATCAAACAGATTTTCAATTGATTTTTAGAAGGCGCCCTATCAATAGAAGTATGGGGAAATAGAAGCGCAGGATTTTCCAAATACAAACCAGGCTGGGAAGTTGAGCAACAACTAGCAACTGCACGTTCCTTGCTAGATAGATGGTCGGAGCTAACGAGAAAAATCGAGCTCTGGGTGGAGATTCAAGAGCTGAACGATCTGGGAGAATATGCGGGAGTAGAAGTGCTAATGAGGACCGATATGTTAACCGGGGGAATTTATCAGTTAAGACAAGGGCAACAAAGGCGGATACAAGTCAGAGTAAAGCCGGTTCAAAATTCTGGTACTTTGCCCATAATATGCCAGCAAATTATGAAGATTGAAGTCGGTGGCGTGATGGTTCGGAATCGGCTACAAAAGCCTCTGGATTCATATCAGGAAGAAGATCTGACTGTATTGCGCGAAAAATGGAACGATGCGCTAACAAAGCGCAAGCAATATTTGCATTCTCAGCTTCAGAATTTATCCGAAAAACTAGACAAATCAGAACAAGACTTGGAAAGAGAAAAGAGCCTCATGGAGCAACTTGTTAACCTTACTGAGGAAACTAATGCTGTGTATGTACCTCAACCTGGAACTGGAATACCTGGAGCTCCTGCCATGTGGAGCCCTCCGCCCGGAATGGAGCCACATGTTCCTGTATTGTTTTTGGATTTGAATGGTAATACTAAATATTACGTTGTTTTCAGTAGTGAATAATGAATGTCCGTTTAGCTGACGATTTATCAACGCATCCTTCAGGAGAGGAAGTAACCGCAGCCGGAATCAACTCAATTTTGCCGAAGGAGGACGGAAGGCAATTTTACGAGTTAAAGATTTTACACACTTTAGATAAAGATGTTTGCTCAATTGCCAGTTGGGATTCTTCCATTCATGATAGCCAATATCTCAACAAAATCACTGAACGTAAGTGAAGTACATTTGCTTGAACCGCGTTTAAAGCAAACTGTTATTTACAGCCAACGAACGAGTGTATATGATTCTGAGAATCACTGTACGCCTATCTTATCCAGCGACAATGGACCTGGTCCTAAGAAAGAGATTAGCCATTAACATATACAAAAAGCAGAGTTTAACAGAAAGAATCAAGAAAAAAATTGCCAGAACCGATCTTATAACAAACTGTGGCGTGACGTATTTAGTGGTATCCAACGTGCCTAAAGCTAGTGAAGAATTGGAAGATCGGGAAAGTCTTGCTCAGCTAGCTGCTTCAGGAGACAACAACACTTCGCTTTGTGATGGAGAAACTTATATAGGTTTGTGGCAACATTCGGAAAAATGTCTTCAACAAGGCTCAATATATTTTTTGCAGAAAAATACACAAGAGGTGTGAGTGCAGTGGAAGGCATCCTTAGTTTGGACCGGCTACGTCAAAACGTAGCTGTTAAAGAACTGTTACAAGCCAAAGGACAGCCTCTCATGAGGAAAACCGTTAGCGTTCCCAACTTCTCCCAGGTATGGAGTTATTCAGGGTCAGCTCAACTCTGTAGTAGCTCGCTCTTTTTTAATATTCACTCTTCCTTCACTTGCCATAATGGCAACTTTTTCTGCACGGTACAAGGTGGGCTAAAAAGCCCTCAAAATATGTAATTTGATAGATTGATAATGCGAATAATTTTCAAACTGCGGTCATTGAGCCATCTTGTACTAGTACTCTAGCACCTAGCTATTAGAAATACAACATATTTTAAAAAGTCACTTGTTATTGCCGCACAGATTTTGGAATCAAAGGGGGTATGTGTAGACTTTCCATGATTATTTAATAAATAACTTTTGACGTATAATTGACTATAAAAATCGACTTTATATCAGTTTTGGGTGATTGTGTCGTTTCGCCCCGCTGAATTTTTTGTTTTTTTTCTAGTTTTATCTTAAAGAACACTTTCAATTAAGCAGTTTATGGATGGTCTATAAATTGTGCCAAAGAAACACTCACAAAGTTTGAGGAAATCACGATTTTCATGCTAAATTTCGAGCGGCGTTGATAAACTGCGCAAACCATTTTAAGTTCATGAACATTTTTTCCTTGGGTATCCAGTATTTAAATTCATTCAATTTGGGTGGGCTTAGATTATTTAGGTATTTTCGGGTTTTATTTTTTGCATATTTTTTTAGATTTATTAAGCGCTCATTAAAAGCACATTAGATGCTTCAAATTTGAAATAATTCACATTTTTGGTCTATTTTAGGCGGTTTTTCACGATCTATTACCGGCGATATCTTCCTCATTGCCAACTGAAACACGTTAAACCGGTATTGTGGAGAGTTTCTTAGGTTGGGGCCAATCCATTGAGCTCAAAAAACACGAATGTGAAATTTTGATTTTTGACTTAAATTTTCAAAAAGGGGGAGGGTTGATTTTTTCGAAAAATATCAAGTATCTCAAAATGTCTCGAATTCTATATCATTTTCACTACAAGACAGCGAGGAAAGCCATGCGCTCATTAAAAAGCACATTAGAAGCTTCAACTTTGAAATAATTCACATTTTTGGTGTCTATTTTAGGCGGTTTTTGATCCATCACGATCTTTAACCAGCGATATCTTCCTAATTGCAAACTGAAACACGTTAAAACTGCATATTGGAGAGCTTTTTAGGTTGGGGGCAATCCATTGAGCTCAAAAAACACGCATGGGAAATTTTGATTTTTGACCGAGAATTTCATAAGGGGGGAGGGTTGATTTTTTCGAAAAATATCGAGTCTTTCAAAATGTCTCGAAGTCTACATCATTTTCACCACAAGACAGCGAGGAAAGCTGCATGCCTTCATTAAAAGGCACATTAGAAGCTTCAAATTTGAAAAAATTCACATTTTTGGTCCATTTTAGGCGGTTTTTGATCCATCACGATCTTTAACCGACGATATCTTTCTTATTGCAAACTCAAAAACGTCAAACCTGCATACTGGGAAGCTTTTTAGGTTGGGGGCAATCCATTGAGCACAAAAAACACGCATGTGAAATTTTGATTTTTGACCGAAAATTTCATAAGAGGAGAGGGTTGATTTATTTGAAAAATATCAAGTCTCTCAAAATGTCTCAAATTCTACATCATTTTCGCCACAAGGCAGAGAGGAAAAAGTTTTTATTAAAAAGCACATTAGAAGCTTCAAATTTGAATTAATTCACATTTTTGGTCCATTTTAGGGGGTTTTGATTGATTAAATGTGTATATTGGGAGCTTCTTAAGTCGTAAACAATTCATTGAGCTCAGAAAACCCGCATGTGAAATATTTACTTCTGACCGAAAATTTTAACACATGCATAATGCGAAACTTTTCTTGTATTGAATCTTTTTAAATTTAAAAGAATTATTGGTACATTTGTGGCGACTAATGGAGCCTTGAGATGAATAAAATTCTCTGTTTTATCGATTTAACGTGGGGAAATTCAGTCAAGGACCTAAAAACACGTTTCCAATGTCACTTTAGAATTTAAATTCAGGCAAGATTTTTCAACCACAGAAATGCAAATCAGAGCACTAAGCTTAAGAGATTAGCTGGCTCGATATCCAAACGATATATATAAAGCCCTGGCTTAGATAAAATTTTAATTTTCGTCACATTTGCTGACAAAAGGCTTGACAATATATTGAATTTTAAGGCTGCAAATTGTATTTCAGTCAAGTCACTTCAGCCATGCTAACGCAAACAAACTAACTCAGAATTAACCGAAAAGAAAAAGTGCCATCTGACTAACGACGACCTCAATCAATTGGCGATGCTCAAACTTTTGCAATAAACACCCTTATTATGCATCTTAGAGACGATTTTGCATGTAGAGTTATGAATTGTTGATACCTAAAACACGATTTAGCAGCAAACAGCACCGGACCATCTCATTTTTGTGCATAAATAGGTGGTTTTGGAAAAGCGAGTTTCAAAACTTTGTAAGTGTTTTTTGGCCTAATTTATGGACCATCCAGGAATTTGGCTTTGGAATTGGCTGAAAGTGCTTAATTAAAGAAATAAAGGAAAAACCAAAAAATTCGGAGGAACTCAAACGGCCCACTCACCTCAGTGGTGATTCATATTCTTTATAGCAAACAATTTCCTGCTTTTTAATGTAAAATGTATTTTTTGTCTGAAAAAATGTGTTGATATTTATTCAAATTGCAGCTGATGAGATTCGATACGTTGAGCACCGAATCCCTGCACATGTCAAGGTCCGAAAGCGTATCTGAGCTGAATAGTGAGTTGCATGGCTTGAGTCCTGCAAGGCCGCGCTCCAGCGTTGGCAAAGAGGAAATAACTCCTCCCAAAACCTATGGCGGACTTGGTGAGTTTTTGAATTTTTCTCTGTGTGGTAATATTTGGAAATTAATTGTACTCATAGGAATTAAGAACTCTAGCACGTACCTATCGATATAGACTAGTACTGAATATGTTTAACAAATATTTTTATAGACTAGGTGGGTGTGTAAGCTATGTCTTTGTAAGTAATGGAACTTGTAATAAGATTAGGTGGCATTTCTAATAATTCAGATTTATTCGTGAAAAACAGTTCGGCTCATTCCTAAGCTTCCATTTAGTTTATCTAGCAACAAGTACGGTTCCTGATAAACAAGCTCCAGACGGTTCACCATACGAGAAAAGTACAAAACGCGAAAAATGTATCACAAAATCATTACATGAAACTGGTGAGTTCTTCGCGCGTTTAGGTCGTTCTCTATTAGATTTTTTCTAATTAATTGATACATGAAGATGTTCTTTTATCAGGTGGAGTCCAAGCGGAGTTAAAGAAGAGGATTTCCTTTAAATGTTCACAATACAACTACTATTTTTTGTTGGTTGGTTGGTATGCCAATGGTTGTAGCCATTGGCATCTAAATTTCTCCATTCCGCGAAGTTTATAAGAGATAAGCTTTTCAAATTTACATCCTATAAGACTGTGCTGACTCAAGAAATGAAGCTATTTGACTATCTAAAGCGTCGTTTTTAGGCAGCTTGAAATTGATTCAGAATTAAAAAGATTCATTAAAAGCCTTTGCATCCCGAAAAAGGTACTGTTTAGGCCAGGTAATAGACGGATTGTCCTTGACATAAATCTTATCGGAGAACCACCATCATCATCATGTGCAGGGCAGTCCTAAAGTTCTTCTTAAAGGGTTTTAGTTGATTTTTGTGTCGAAAATTATCGCTCGTCTATTTTAGATTTAGCGACAGCAAGCGCTTTCTTTTTGAAAATTCGGAAAATGTATTCGAGGACAGATGAATAAAAATAATTTTTGGTACTTCGTAAAACAGGGGCGAATTATTAAAGGTGCAAAATTTCAGTTTAACAGGAATTTGCTGTGATTTTTGGGAATTTTTCACAGTTTGCGTTAATTCATGTCTTAACAGTGAGCGTTTCTCTTTAAACAATCATAAAATATAATCAAGAACAGGCACAGAAAAATAAATTTTGGATTTTTATTGAGCAGGCTCGAGTTACTAAGCGTGCAGGATCTTAATTTTGCAGACATTTTCGTTGATTTTCAGAATTTTTCACATTTTACTTTAAAAACTGCTGCTTAATAGTGCGTGATTCTCTTTGACAATGCATACTATCTAATTACGGTCAGGCAGAGAAAAGGAGTTTTCGAATTTTCGTAAAACAGACTCGAATTAGCAAGCGTGAGCAATTTCTGTTCAGCAGGAATTTTCTGTGATTTTTGAGAATTTTTCACAGTTTGCCTTAAAATCTCAGGTTTTAACAGTGAGTCGTTCTCTTTGAAAATGCATTACATGTAATTACGGCCAGGCAGAGAAAACAGTTTCTGGATTTTTTAAACAGGCAAAATTTTTCACATTTTACCCTAAAAACTGCTGTTTTAAAATGCGTAGTTGTTTTTGAATAATTCCTAGAGTATAATCAGGGGCAGACAAAAATAAGGAAATTCTGGATTTTTGTAAAAGCGGCTCCTAAGGCGAAGGATGCTAAAGTTCACTTTTGCAGTGGCTTCCGTTGACTTTTGAGAATTTTTCACAGTGGGCTTTAAAATTCCTGTCTTAACAAAGTGCGTTTTTTTTTTTAATTTCTAAAATCTAATCGAGGGTTGATAAAAAAATACGTTTTACGCTTTCGTAGAAAAAGCTTCAATTATTAAGCGTGCAAATTTTCAGTTCAGCAGGAATTTCCGTTAATTTTTGAGAATTTTTCACATTTTACTTTAAAACTGCTCTCCCAATAGTGCGCTGTTGTCTTTGTCTGAAAATTTATGAAGTGTAATCAAGAGCAGCCAACAAAAAAAATTGATGTGTGTAGAACGGGCTTGGATTATTAAAGCTGCAAAATTTCAGTTTTGCTAAAATTTTTATAGATTTTTTTTAAATCTATTTAGTTAACGTTTAAAAATGCTGTCTTAATGGGCGCGGTTTTCTTTGAAAATTTATAGTGTCAAAAAAAATTGTTTTGGATTTTGGCAGAAGACGCTTAAAATATTAAGGATACAAAACTCGATTTCCCCATGTTGATGTACCCCAATATAAAAAAAAACAAAAATCAGGGAAATAGCGGCAGTAGATATATCTAATTAGCTATCCTTGTTCATAACTTGAGCTCTTAATATTACAAAATAGCCAAGTTTTGAGTTTTTTAAGAAAACGTAAAGTTTTCCAGTTTTTTTTCAGTTTTCTTCGGTTGTAATTATCCTATCAGGTCGATCGACCTCTCATTCTCTTCGTAGTTCATTGCTTTACAATCAATCATTAAGATTGCTTCAATTGTGTCGATTTTACAAACGAGAAACTAAAAAAATGCGATTTTTTTGTTGAAAAAAGTTAACATACTGGTAATAAAGTATGGACTGCCCTGCACCTAATGGTGTAGGTGGTCCGATAGGTTTTATGTCTAAAAACATATTATTTTCATCTCTATTGCTTGGCCTAGTTTGGTGCAGTTGGAGTTTGATGAATCAATAAAAATAAACTTTATCACTCTATAGATCGAGTGCTCCTTGTTTTTCTAAAAAAAATTGTGCGTCTCAAAACGGCAGGAAGAAAGTTGCAATTACTTTCCACCACGGCCTAAAAGAGCGAAAACCTCAGCAGTTTCAATATTCACACTGTATATCGTTTTATATATTTAAAATGCCTTTCTTCTGATATAACCAATATTGTTTAACTAACATTAAATCAATTTTGTTTTTGCAACCCTACAAGGCTCCATTCTATCAGGTAAAATGGAGGCTTGCTTACTAAGATTGCTGTTATTAGGTTGATCAAGTAAAATGTTCAATATACCAAATGCTTGAGTCAAATAATTTTGACCTGTTTTGAGCATTTGCTGCATTCGAGGCACTCAAAAACAATGGTGTAGTTTGTAGATAAGTCGTAGATATACCTAACAACCAAGCATGATTGATTTCAGATAAATTGAAATAGAAACTATAGATATTGATCAAAACCCTTATATATTGAGTGGTCCAATGTTTCTGAGCAATTTATTTTTTTAAATTAATTGACAGCTTTATTGATTTTTGCCCTGCAACTATGTATACTTGTATAAAGTGTATAAAATGTACCAAACCACTTGTAAAAATTATAGGCACCTAGCATGGTATTTCAAAAAAATATCTGACAAATATAAGGATTTTGGTTTGTTGTTACACAAACTGTCTTCATATCAACGTTAAGAGATCGGACATTCATGCAACTTTGCGCTAGATTATTCTAGAATAATTTAAATATATCAGTTCTACTTTTATTGAAAGTATCCAGTGCCAGTCCGTCGATTCATCATTTTAAACATATTCTGCTTTTGCTCTTATGTAGATGATTGTAATGAAGTCACAGAGACAGCAGTATTAAGAAATTACTTAATTAGTTGTTGAATCTGATATCAAGTATCTAATTTTTGACTGGAAACTAACTTGAAAAATATCTCGAGCATTTTGAGCATGTGTAGATAAATTAGACGAACATATCACAAAATAGTGATTGTGAATCAAAGTACACCAAAGCTCAACTGACGGGAATTTGGAATGGAAATTTTGGTTCACATATATATTGTGTATGTGATATGCCTAGGCTAAATTGTAGCCTAATTAGTAACTTTAAGTGGAACTCTGTTGATGAAAGCGTAAAGTTGCGTGGAAGTAGTTGTCTACTTCCACGGAAAACTTACATGGAAATGAGTGCAATTTAGCCCAAGCAGGAAATTTGATTAGAAATATTCGTTCGGGATGGTACCAATTGGCATAACTGAATGCATGGTTGTTCACTGTTAGTAGGCTAATAAAAAACTCCTTTTTATTGGAAAATTGTGATCCTTTTAGTAGCAACTGCAGTTGTGTTCTGTGCACACAGAAAATTATAATTAAGTTGCAAATCAACACATGTAAATGATCACAATTAATTTTATTGGCCTATAGAATGAAAATATTACGTCTCTTTGACTTTAAAATGATCGCTGTGTCATTTTAAAAGTGTACAAATCATACATGTGTAGATAGGATCGTGGAATGCCAGCGTTTCAAGTTAGAGACTAGAAAATTAATATTTTTAATATTTCAGCCCGCCCCACATTCCTAAATCTGAACTTAAATTTGAATTCCCTAAGATTGCAACAACCAACGAGCAGTACCAAAAGTACGTTTTTGTAAAAACTGACACTCGCTAATTACTTTTTGGTTTGTAGATTTTTGGTTACAGCGGATTGGATTTTTTTGTTTCAGTTAGACAAAGCTATACAGGGTTATCAAATAAAAAATCGATTTCTTAAGCAGTTGCTTAATTTTGTGAAAAGGCACGCATAAAATCACTCGTTGATAACCTTGTATCGAAATTCTGTTCCTTTCTAAATGAATGCCATGTAAATAGTGCAGATCCGCCTCAACGCATTCACAAACAGCTTAAAGCCCGTGTCAAATGCATCCGTTTGTACGATGATAGTCCGCCGTCTTACGAACGCAGGATGAATTGACAGATCTCCAACCAATAGAAACACTATCGTATCATCGTATTATCGTACAAACGGATGCATGGGACACGGGCTTAAATCCTTAAGAAGTAAGATTTTAGAAAGGAATTGGAAAAAATCCCATATAAATATATGTTGTCATCATTGTGGTTTTATTTTACTTCTAACCTCATGTATCTACACTGGTTTGTTAACATTTTTTTATTTGTTTTTAGTAGATTTAATTGGCTAAAGTAGTTTACGTGTTGACTAAACATGCGACCCATTTTAGTATTCTCCGGCATGGTATCGCCAGCTAATACCAAGATGGGGCTAAGAATGACAACGTTACACGAGGAGCCTTTGAAATCTCTGCCACGAAAACATTCATTTGATTTTCTGACTGACGAACCCATTGCAGAACAGTGCGAGGATGGATTGGACGAGAAAATGAACAGCCAGGTGAATGAGCTGTTTTTCACTAAGCAACTTTAGTATTACAATAAACTGTTTGCCGGTTTCAGTTTAGTCACAGAGCTGAGAAGATCACCAGAAGGGGGTTGCTGCCAACATCCCGTACTCTGGATTCGCTAACAGAACTGGCCCCTAAAGCGACCACGCCATCAGCCAGTTCCAGTGGCTACGGATCTCAAGCAGTCTCAATCACCAATCTTTCCAGTGATGATTCCATGTCACTGAGGAGTATAAGTGTAGACGAAACACCTGATATTGAATCTAAACCTCTTCACACTGACTTGCAACCGGTTTCCGAGCTGGCTCAAGTCACTAGCTTTGACGTAGGTATAAATGAAGATCTACAATTCGATCCCTAACTATCCCTAACTTCAGCGACTCGCATTACCAGAAGATGATCCTGATGAGCCTACAGCCAATGACGGAAGCTCGGAGGACTTGGTGCAAAGTTCGAACAGCGATTCGAATCCAATACCGGAAATCGAAACCGTGATTAAACCCAATTTATTATCCGGAAAGGTAATTCGCAGGAAAAAACATTCATCGGCCAAAAATTCAAGTGTGAGAGCGTCATTTCCCCAATCGCGCCTTGGTTCTAACAAGTCTGTAGAGAAGCTAAACATTATGAGTTTGAGCTTGTCGTCACATGAAGATGATGCACTGCACAGCTCTACAGACAGATTGGAAGGTATGTCCATTCAGGGTAGGCCTGGGTAACACTGTTGAGTTGCGCTATTGAGTTGTTGCCTCTGTCTGAGATAACGAGTTATAACTCATCGGTTCATGACGTGTAAGTCATTTATTAAAGCTTTACGAGACGCGAGAGTGGAATTTTCACATCTAAAAAAATGATTTTTTCTGCGTAACGTTTTACAACTTGGTTCAAACAACTGAAAAAAGTCATCTAGATTTTCCCAGCAACAGAACTGAGTCGAAAGAAAGTCGACGAGTTTTCCTATAAAATCGATCTCTTAATTTTTTGCATAAAAGATTCAGTTTGCCAGTATTTTACAGTAAAACGTTAGGGAACACGCGGGTTTTCTGTTTAGAGACAGTATTGTTTAGAAATATTAACGTAAACGTTTTTTTAAACGTAAATTTCATGTTTTTTTGGCACTTTCCATTTTTTTGTGCGTTTTTAATCTAGATTTTCCCAGCAACAGAACTCAGAGATAGTCGACGAATTTTCTTGTAAAATGGATCTCTTAATTTTTTTGCATAAAAGATTCAATTCGGCAGGTTTTTACAGTAAAACGTTAGGAAAAATGCGGTTTTTCCGTTTAGTGGCAGTGTTATTTAGAAATATTGCTCTAAAAGTGAAGAAACCCCAGTTTCCAAGAGTTTTCCCAATAAATGATTACAAACTTTCGCTTTTTCAGTTCGGGGGAAATATTTTTGGAAAAATGCCCGGAAGTAATTATTAGGGTTTTGTCCATAATTTGAAGACGCAAAAAGTTTTACACAAATATTTTTGCAAAGCGGTTAAGGAGGCGAGTTTGGCAGAGTTCAACTAAAATTTATCTTATAATTTTTTTCTCTGACTGCGTGTGATTGTTATTATATTTTTTCACAGACAATACCTGGATATTGTCAGTATTTTAAGTAAAACAAAAAATTCTGCGATTTTTGAGAAGAAAGAATTGATTAATAGAAACTTTGTTAAAACTGGAATGACCTGACAATTTAAAGGAACTTTAAAAATCTCTTTTTTCATGTTTCTGTAAATAATTTCTTGTAAGCTTTTGCATTCTGATCGTTTTTTTCAAGATAATCCTAATTACTTTCGGTAAAAAACTGAATTTGGCTTTTGTGCCAAACTCGAAGCTGAAATGGCTTTTCTAAAGTTCCCTGCAAACCCTTGAATGAGGCGAATTTTGTAGCCGAATTGATTTCGTCATTTTTGGCTGAAAAGACCCCATTGTTGTCAGAAAAGAAGAAAATCATCAGGAAGTAGTGGTTTTTGGCGTTTTTTATATAAAACCTTATAATCGTTTTTCGGGAAAAAACGGGAGGAAGTTGTTTTCGTTTTTGTCCCGAATTCGACGAAAATTCAAATTTTTTTTTGTTAAATTTTTACAAAGCTCTAAATTTATCTTGTAATTTTTCGCGTAAAAGGCCTCCAAAACGTCAGTATTTTTAAGTGAAACTCTACAAAATAGAGCGTTTTTGAGTAGAAAGTAAAGCAAAAAAATTCAGTCAAAACTAAAAAACCACATTTTTTTAACAAACTCTAAAGTCTTCAGAGGAATTGAGGTGACGAGATTTCCAAATAATCTGTTATAAATTTTCGCTAATTCTGTTCATTTTTTGAATGATTTAATTTTTGTTCCAAATTCGAAGCTGAAATAACGTATTTTCCGCGGAAAATACGTTATGATTGTCAGCATTTTGAAGTGAAACTTTAGAAATTTTGAAGAAATTTAAAAAATATTATTGATAAATGGCCCTTAATTAAGTTAAAAAAAAGTCATAAACATTTTTCCAGCAACGGAATTCAGTTACTGCGGCGGAGCGTTGTGTTGGCGCACCAAGCCATTTGCGTCGCACTGCGCCAACTGCTAAAAATTCACTGAGTTACCCAGGCCTAATTCAGGGTGTCTTGAAATGTCTTAAATTGAATTTATTTTTATAGACGATAGGCATAGTAGCTTTGGTTCAAGACCAGACTTAACTAAACTATCTGATGTTCCTGTCCCAGAATGGGTGGTGCTTGGTGAAAGTGTTCTCATACGCCCCTATAATTCATCAGGAGTGGTGGCTTATGTAGGAGAAACTGATTTCGCTTCTGGGACCTGGATTGGCATTGAACTGGATGCGCCTAAAGGTAGGAGTGCTAATCTAGAAATAAATGGTTTTCCTAACAGGACGATGTTTTTAAAATGAAACCAAATGCAATTTGTTTTTATTTTGAAGTTATACCATTTATGAGCACACGGCTCGCATTTTCGAGGAGTTTTGCTCAAAAGCCTCCACTTACACTGATGATCTGAACTGAACGATTTTTTTGTCAACACTTAGATAATTTCCAAGCGTGTAATTCCATTCCTATTAAAAAACCCTTTATAAGCGATTTACATATTTTGAATTGTGCTTTCAAAGGGAAAAATGATGGAAGCGTTGGAGGCGCCCGATATTTCACGTGTAAGCCAAAGCATGGGATGTTTGTGAGAGCTGACAAGTTAATTCTCGATCGTCGAGGAAGAGCCATGCGGTTGGATAAAGCCGCAAATAAAAGTCTGTTAAATAAAGGTAAATATTAATCGATTTGTTTAAACTTTATGGTATTTATTTGGTTTGTTGCAGATGCGTCTCTTCATCGGTCAAAATCGAGAAACAGCGGGCTAAACAATGTGGGTACGCGAATGAGCTCAAAGGCAAAATAAAGATGATTTTTCTATTAGAGATATTTATATAACCATCCATTCGTTCCACCCTTATTGTTGCCGTTAGCCGTGTTTCAACGCGGCACATTTGTATCTATATGTGTGCCGTCCATAACATGGCATTATATAATCGTCCTTGCCATTTCATAGTTCCGTAAAAAATACACTGTTTGCTGCACTAAATATTATCTCCACATTTGCCACCTCTATGGTAAAAACTATTCTTGCGCAAAACTGTTGCAATCAAAGAAATCAAAATCATCAACGAGCTTTGCAATAATTTGAGTTGTATATGTTCAGCCACATATCTACCTCCGCTTTGGAAAACACAATTAACCAGTGAAATTTAGTGATTAGGATTTTATCAGAACTGTGGTACAGTGTTATCTAATTTTTAGCTAATAGGTCACATGCGGCCGAACAGGGCAAACACTTACAAGCACTGACCAAGTTGTGTTTGTTTCCTCACTAGTTTTCTTATTTTAAGCATTTATTTCTGTGATATTGTTAGTTTACACAGGAGCACTCTTAAAACTTCCACGCTACAAGATACGCATTTTTCTGCAGAGTGATTCAAAAATATCAAATAGACATCGTAAGTAGGTTTTCGCAAAAATTTCTACTGAAATCAACTCAAAGAGCATAGTAACGCTGTGAATGAATGAGGGCACATTGCATGTTGTTTTTTATGAAAATAAATAATAATGTTCGCTGTGAAGCGATATCAGAAACTCGTGTTGTAAGTTATCGAAGTGTATTTCTGAATCACGCTGTATATTCGACACAACACCTGACTGGTCAGTTTTATTGACGCTGCATGCAACAAAAGTTCATTTTCGCGTGCTTTGAAAGCTATGAGCAGGTTTATAGATTGTGTAACTTTAATAAACAGTTAGTAGTCGAACATAAAGTATTTAAAGTATCTGTGTGTCATTAGATTAGAGTAAATTCAATAGTTACTATATTTTTGCTGACATTTTTTGCTAAATAAATGTTAGTAAATTTAATTCAGGCTTTTCATGTGAGTTTGAATAGACAATCACTCCATTTGAAAGGCCAAATTAAATCCTGAGGTAATTGAGTAAATAGTGATTTTTCTCTATTTATTAAACAAAACATTCCATGTTACATTTGTATAAGACGCGATATTTTCTAGTCCAATATGATTTACGTAATTATTGCTCAGTGATAGGTTAAATCACCACACTTAAGGTTTAGTCGTCCAAATTGATTAGTCTTTTGACGTTGATCATTCAGAATAAAAACTAGACCTTTTACCTGTCCATTCTAATATAAAATCTGTCCAGTTTAATACAATTAGGAGTTAAATCTCTATCATAATATATTTAGAGTGGGTCGATTTTTGCAGTATATTAAGTAGAAATGTTAACTCCAATCGAGTTTTTCTTTGGCTTGGAAGTTGAATATAGAAAATTAGCATCAAACGTTGATACAACCAAAGAAAATGGTTGTCTTTGAAAGAATTCCAAAAATAGCTGTAGGAATGAATACATACAATCCCACCCTAAAGATAAAACATAATTCTGTATTTAGAAGTACAACTGCATGCATGCATACATATATTCTAACTATGCTGTTTGTACACAGACAAAAAATATTTTTTGGTATTATGACTTGTAATATAGACACACACTCAATATCTATTTTACATCAATTATAACACGAAAATAAATACCCATATATAGTGCAGTATAGTGACGAAATCAAACATTTCCAGCATTTTATGTCGATTGTAGACAATACTTAAATAATTTGTCAAATACCATTAGCAATAATATATGTAGAAGGATCATTGCGCATTTGCAATCATTGATTTTCTTTTGCTAGCTTTAGAACAACGTTAATGTACTTACTTATAATAAGACTTATTTGCTTTCACACTATATGCTTCAATGAGACAAACCACTATACATGCATGTTATATTGGAATATGATCCCTTATTCTGGACCCTCCATAACAATCTGTACATTCACTAAATGTAAATAATAAACAAAATCATTTAAATATCGGTCTTTAAATGAGCAAAGCGCTTACTATTTGTTTTCCATTTTGTGGGGTTTGTTGTGTTTTTAATTATTGTAAGTTAGCCGCAATTGTAATTTTTAAGATATACATATTTTATATATTGTGTACATTTTTGTTGTTTACCTTATTAAATTATTTTAACTTTTCTAGTTTTAGTATGCCGATTATTTGTAGCTGTGGTCTTACATGCAAAATAAATATATGAATATTTCAACCATCGTCCATTATTCATTCATATATTTTTAATAGATTTCAGATCTGTGGCTCTTGGTAATAATTACTGACAAAAACCTGTACAGAAATAGTGGATTTATTTATCATAAAATATATACAATTCAATTAATTGCTGAGTAACGTAAAGTAACACATTTTATTTCGGTTGAAAAAAATGTTGCATTAGCAGAAACACCCTAAATTCGTCTTTTTCTGGGTGCTTTCAAAAAACATGTACTCCTAAAATTCAAATACAAAAACTACAAAACACTCGGGTAAAACAGTCCAACTTACCAATAAAAATGCGGATCCCAGCAACAGAGCTTTATGACGATTATCAGTGATGGAACTAGGCATTTGTAACAATAGCTGATATCCTCCGGAAACTGTATCCCACTGATGGACAATTGTACCAATTTGAGTCGCTCCATCGCAGGTGTATATCTTTAAAAAATTATCAAGCTGCAATTCTAGACCACATTTTTATTTACTCAATTCGTGGGTGAAGTACGCAAAAATCAGAATTTAGTGTGGTTTTCATGAACATTTTAGCATTACAAGTGTTAAATGTTGGATATAAATGGGGGGAGTGTAACTTCGATTTTGAGACCTTATTCATATGAGAATAAATGTATTGAAACTAACTTACTTGAAAAATCCCCGCTTTGTGGAAGCAAGCAAATGATCTGGGCCCTTCGATTATATATAAAACTTCCTCGTGCCGATTGCAAACTTCAAACGATGTCTGAAGACCTCTCCATCTCTGAGAAATTGTTCCCACCAGCTCTCCAGGTGGCACCCATACTTCCATTTTCTAAGAAAATCGTGCTAAGAGGAAAGTGTTCGAATTTTGCTGTTTTTCCATCCTACCTGGAGGTGGAAGCAAAAGGTACAGTACCCACATCCCAATCGTCTTTTAAAAGACATCGCTTCCTGATCCGAGCCATCGTATAATCGCATATTGAAAGCTCGACCTGATCCAAAGCACATTCTGTGACAAGATGTGGAGCTTTCTGTGGCATAGTAAATCGCTTCGGCGGATTCTCTGGCAGCTACTTTCACTGTGTATCTATTTTCCGTGTCGGCTATTACTGGAGAACAATGATATATTTTTTACAAACTTCTTTTTGGGTATTTCTCCTCAAAAATTTTTGTCTTTAAAAAAGACAGAATTTCCTCACGTCTTTTATTACAGATTGATAAA